TGGTGAGATCGAGCTTCGAATCTTTTCTACATACACTTTCAGCTATAATTTTATCCCAGGAGATTAATCGAAACCCAGTTGTTCCTCGTAACTTTTATGCCAGGTCGTTAAGGTCAATGACTTTTTGACTCAAGGAGTCGCATTACAATGATTGAACAATGCTTAACAAGCTTGAGCTTTATATGTGTATTCATGTGTTAAGACGGTGTGACTATATTATGATTTATGGCTATGACAACTAATTAAGTCGTCTTCTCTTGGATGACGGCCCGATAATCTCCATAATCTTAATTCTACCACTTAAACCATTAAATCATAAATATTTGAACCTGCATGGTATGAGAGAGTTAAAAGTTTAATCGAAAGAGGCGAAGTATTTAAAATGGAAGCAAATAAGGTGGCAAATTGTTCTTTTATTTATGCAAATTTTCAAAGAACTTAAAACAAAAACAATTAAAAATTGTATATTGTGAATTTTTAAATATAAATACCATCCTATTATTCCTAAAAAGTGTTCTGAATGAAAAGACAGAAACAGAGTTGGATTACAGATAACCGTGACTCACTAGGCCCGAAGGGTCATTTGGTTGTAAGTCGATGGCCCGTACGATGTAGATGCGAACTATGCATTCTTCCGGGTCAGAGGGGGGGAGAGACGTCTCTAGGTACTTGAGGGGAAGTGGGGCCGTGGGTTCGGCTGGAAGAGGATATATGCAAAATGTACCCTTGAACTGGCCGGCATAGTTGTCTTCTTCCTCATCCAAATTCTTTCCACGGGTTAACGTAAAGGTGGAGCAAAAATCTTCAAAGCCTTTATAATTTTCCGCTTCTTCTAGCGCGAATTTATATACCTTAATTAGGAATTATCAAGATGTACAACAGTGGATAGGACTTAGAATGCATGAATTGAAAAATAGAGAGTTTTATAGTAAAAAGGTAATCAGGGGCTAAATAGCAAGCAAAAAACAATTGCTTTGTCGGAACGAATTTCGATTTGACTGGCAAAATTTGAGGAAAATTAGTTTGAGAAACGCCAACTAATCATAATAAGATTATTTGAAACAAATATTGTTATCATATCCATAGAAGTAGTATACTGCCACATCAATAAACTCAGCTGTATGTGGGAATTTGCCCTAATATTCCGCCGCTGTAAAACATAATATCTCCAAGAATTGGCAAACTTACAAATTTCGCTGTACCAATACGAGGAAGACCAGAAAACATATTATTTTTCCCCTGACAGTGTTTATATTGTTGAGTTTCAGTAGGCTGATGAGAAGATCCTAAACAAATCTTTTCTTTCACTGGACTTGCCTCTCAAATGTTTCTATTTCTAATTGCCTGTAGAGCAGATCACTTGCACAAAATTTCTATTTTCTAGCATATCCTGGGCTCTCAGTTGATAAAACGTCTCAAAAACGGCTGAAAGTC